TCTGCTGGGGCCTCTCTCCTTGGACCATAGGTAGCTGTCTTCTCTGGGTCACTGACCCTTCTAAGGACGCCAGTCCTACTGAACTAGTGTCTATGCATGTGGCCTCATTTCAAGTACTCTACCACCTCTTTAAGGCCCTATCTCCAAAGAAAGCCACATGCTAAAGTATTAGAAATCAGTCCTTCCATCAAAGACATTCTGGATGACACAAGTTCCAGCCTATAAAAGTCAGCAATAGGAAAAGGGAGAGGAAAGCAACGCAGCCATGGCTATGAACTCATACTTGGGCGATACAGACAAGGGAAAGGCGATTTCACCTATATGCCTCACATCTAGACTTCCCTGGCCTTCCTGTCTCCCTCCAACCCCCTACTGTTCTAAAGCCTGGCTGATCATCTCGGCCTCCATGATCCATCTTTCTAGTCTCACTCCTGCGGCCCTTAACCCCATGCGGCCCGTGTGGCTCTAGCTGCCGCTGCATTATAACACATCAGGCCTTCTCTTATGTCACTCTCCTTGCTTAGGTCAAGGATTTGGGAGTGCTCTTCCCTTCTGCCTTCTCCCCGCTCTGGCACTGACTCACCTACTATCATTTGATCATTAAGACCTTAGGGTATAGAAGCCCACACATACTCTTTACTCCCACACCAGACAGATGCTCTTCTGCTACTCCTCTCCTCGCTCTAACTCACCACACTAAATTATATACCAGACTTGCTATTATATTCTTAACCTCTGCAATAAGACTGACCACACAATCACAAGTGTAAGAGCTGAGTTTCAAGCTGGTTGGCCATGCTGATCTATCTACCCAGCAGATACTGAACAATCTTGAACCAGGTAAGCACTTAATAAGTACTTAAAGGAAGAGAAGAATAGCTGAAGTGCAAAGAACTGTAAATTAGTTGTCACGCGGTCAGTTTTTACTGAACAGATTTGCTTGAAGATGGCAGCAATATGAAATCATGAAGTAGTGATAGCTACATGGACTGAAACAATGCACAGATAGGACTAGGTCTTAAACCAATGGCACTACACATAAGAAAGCAAAGATTTATGTTATTAGGTCACAACTCAGTAAGAATTTCTTAAATGTTTTCCAAATCATTCATACGCATATATTCCTTGTCTAAGGTACAGAAGATTAGATAGTTATCCTCTTCTGTAGGTACTTTTTTTTTCATAACTCCACTGAAACATGTCTCACATACTCCCCTCTCTCAGTGGCTCATTCTACTTACTACTTCACTTTGGCCACCACCCAACAGGAATTCTTTACTTGAGATAAACAAACCGGTGACTCCAACCCCATATTCACTCTTTCCTTTTCTCCCTCCTATCAGGCAGGAAACACAAAAATTCTGAGAACAAGGTGTGCCAGGCATTGGAAATGCTGAGCCTGCTGATAACATTCTACCAACCTCTGCTGACTGCCTGAGGGAACCACACAGTCAACAAGCTACAGGAACACAAGACACAAGTCGTAAACTGAGGCGACATTCCACATGTTATCATGTTCAGCGAGACAGGACGTGTGGGAGCAGGCTCACTGCACCACTGGGCTGGGTCAGAACCTCCTTAAGGGAGGAGGATGCATATTTGTGATTTATTGCAGTCATTCACCTCAGGGAGGTGTCCAAAGGAATGTAGTACAACCGCCACGAGGCTGCATGTGGCAAACTTCTTGCTTTTAAAAGGAGTACCTTTTGGGAAAGTACTTATCTGGCTGGGTGCTTGTGTCTCACACCTGTAATCCCTAACAATTCAGAAGGCTGATGTTTGAGGATCACAGTTTGGAGGCAGCTTCAGCAGGAAAGTCTCTTAGACTTTTATCTCTAATTCAACACCAAAAAGCCAGAAATGGGGCTGTGACTCAAGTGACAGAATGCTAAGTGACAATGCTAAGGATAGCACCCAGGCTGAGTTTAAGACCCAGTACCAGCACACACACACACACACACACACACACACACACACACACACACACACACACAAAGTGTTTATGTCTCAGGGGCATGTGTTATATCTGTAGCCTTGATTAATGTGAACTTGAAAACTAAAGTAGTGGACTAGTATTTACTAGTCATTTACTCATTCTCATTTGAGAATCAGAAAACATTCTTCTCATCCGTATTTTATTATTTACTTCAATTCAGACTATTTCAATTCTGCCTCTGCAAAGCAACAGATAGTTCCTATTAGATCTACTTCAACTGTCTGCTTGTTTGTTTAGGATTTGGGGGTTTGTTTTGGCCATACAGAGGGTTGAACTCAGGGCCTGAAGCTTGCTGGCAGGTGTTCTACCACTTGAGCCACACCTCCAGCTCCACCACGACAATTTCATCCAAGTTATAAGGCCCAAGTTCGGTGGAACTTCTTTACAGGTAATTATTCTCATGCCAACCAAGACACCGGAATCAAATTAAGAAAATCATATGATCCAGAAAAATACTAACAGGATCCAAATCTCCAAATAAACTACCTTAGACAAGTAAAATTCAATTTTAGAAGCTCAGCAGTTCAAATAAAAGAGCAATCACTTAAAGCAGCATGAAACAAATCTCTCTTTTTTTTACATTAGAAAGAAAACTTTAGATTCAATGGACATTCTGTCAAACATTAGAGCCTCTCCTTAAATTCCTTTTCTTTGGGTGATCAAACATTCATTACATTCCTCACAACAGGTAATGCAGCAGCTAGCACACTCCTATTCATAGCCAGAAGCTATGCTTTCACCGGTCTAATTAACCCGAAAGAAAACCTCTCCAAAGATGCAAATCTACCCCTTCATTAAAGTAAGCAGACTTAGGTTGGGTGCCTCTCAGAAATTATCAACCTGATCAGCGGTTCTGGATATAAACTATTCATGATTACATATATACTAGCTAAGATACCAGTGAACTCCACAAAATAAATGAAACCTAAGAAAAGCTACAAGACCCATTTCACAGGGCTACAACCATATTAGAAGGTCACCCTAACCCAAAGTTCTCTCTAATTTAAAAAAAAAGATTCAATAAAAATTTTAAGAAATATTATCGGGCACTGGTGGGCTCACAACTGTAATCCTAGCTACTCAGGAGGCTGAGATCTGAGGATCAGGGTTTGAAGTCAACCAGAACAGAAAAGTTGGTGAGACTCTTATCTCCAATTAACCACAGCTGGAGGTAGAGCTATAGCTCCAGTGGCAAAGCAGGGAAAGTGAGGGAAGAGCCTAAGGCCCTGAGTTCAAGTCCCAGTACCAACCAGCACAGAAAAAGAAACCTGACACTAACGCTAGTGATGAAACTGTTTTCTAATGATCCAGTTTTCTAATGATTAAAATGCTCTACACACTTGTCATCACCACATTTGTAAAAAGACAAGCTTGAGAAGGTAACTACTGCTCTGTTACAGAAGCCAGACAGTTCTAGATTAAGTGAAAGAAATCAGTTTTGAGGTTGGGTTTGTCTTTTTTTTTTGTGGGGCCTGAACTCTGGGCCTGGGCGCTGTCCCTCAGCTCTTCAGCTCAAGGCTAGCGCTCTACCACTTGAGCCACAGTGCCACTTCTTGCTTTTTTCTTTTTGCTTATGTGGTGCTGAGGAATCGAATCCAGGGCCTCAGGCATGCAAGGCAAGCGCTCTACCACTGAGCCACCTTCCCAGCCCCTGTCTTTTTTTTTTTTTTTTTATCCTCACCAGCTTGAAGTCTGGGCCTGGGCACTGTCCCTGAGCTGCTTTTTGCCCAAGGCTCTACCACTTGAGCCCCAGTGCCACTTCTGGCTTTTTTGAGTAGTTTGTTGGAGGGCTAGCTTCAAACCACAATCCTCAGATCTCAGAGAGGATTACAGACTTGCACCTCCAGCACCCAGCTCACCTCACCAGTACCACCTCATCTAGCTGAATGATTCTAACAGTACATTTTACCAGTTTGGCCAATTAGTAAATTGCTTCTTCCAACAAAAATGGAACTGTCTTCATTAGCTAATGTCCATGACTACCCTTCACCTTTATAAAAGATAACAAAAGCACATCTTTATCAGAGACTCCGCCTATGGAACATAACTGATGTTTATTTGGAATACCATACTTCTAGAAATTTAAGTTGGAACATTACAAATATTTAACTTCCCGTAAAATTGGTTTATTCCAAACAACAAGAAAAATCATTGTGATGGAAATATTTCATTTCCCTGCCCATAAAGCTAGATGCTTCAGTGAAGCCTTTAGTGTAGTCTTAAGTGACCTGTGGTTACCATAGCAACAAAACTCGGCTACCTGTGGCCATGATTTGTTAAGAATTCCTCCAACCACTAAATTCTGTGCTGTGCATTCATAAAACCAATAGACTGATTCTAAGCAACACAAAAACCGAGTGTTGAGCCAAGTGCTGGTGGTTCATGCCTATAATCTTGGCTACTCAAGAGGCTGACCTGGGGATCAGTCCAAAGCCAGACTGGGATGGAAAACACCCTGAGACTCCCATCCAAAATAAGCCGCTAAAAACAAAGTGAGGCGTGGCTCAAGGAGCAGAACCCAAGCCCAGCAAGCAAATCAAGCAAGTATGAGACCTAAGTTCAAACTGCAAGACCACCACTAGATTTTTCTACTACGATTTACTCCTGTGCATATTAACAACACAGATGTACACACGCACACCAACACAATTATGATTTTTCCCAAGCCTACCTACAAGGGTAAGACCACAGCAAAGTTTCATTTTAAAATGGGAACAAAAATTGGAATTCATCAGATAATTGCTACCTGCTCCCCAAAAGGTATCTTAAGAGAAAACAAAGACTCTCTGGAAAGCAATGTGAAAATAAGAGAATTATGTGTGTCCAAACTCATGCCAAGAGGAAACAGCATTGTTAAATCCTGAGGCATAATCTCCTGTCTGATCTGGTAGGCACGACTTCTCAAAGCATAGAGCTGATTGAGAAAGTGTGAAGCTAGGGAATAAAGAAAAGATGTATTCTTCACCACCTATAATCAAGGATCTGCCTCTGCAAGGCTACTCACCCTCACCGGGGGGCTCCAGGCTTGCACGCGAGGCTGCTGTCCACCTTGGGAGCTCTGCAGGTCCTTGGCATTACAGTTAGCCGTGCTGCCCTGAGCCCTTAATGCATTTGTGCAGTTGGTCCCACTGCCCCCACCCGGGCCAGGTTTCCAAGGCCTCTGCTTGATGCCATCCAGAAGTCTGACCAGCAGGATATTACTGGGAAGCTCCTCAACCCCAGAGCCAACCAGCGTCCTGCACTCAGGACATCTAAGTTCATTCCGGGAACCTAGGATCCCCAGCAAACATCGTTTGCAAAACGTGTGCTGGCAAGGCAGGACCTTGGCCGATGCATCCAAGCGTTCTAGACACACAGGACACTCCAGAAGATCCAGCAAGGCAGACTCATCCATCTTGATCTGCTTTACTGAGAAACAGGCTTCGCAGATGTCATAGCTGTATGCAGCCCCTTAAAACGATTCATGTAACACCCATTGCAGACTTCACTCTGGAATTGGAGAGGGAAGGGAGAGGGAGAAGAGAGAATATTAGTGTTGTTATCTGGGGGAAAAGTTCAAGGAGGAGCCAAGAACCAAAAGAGAGGGGGGTGGGGGGAAGTACACAAACATGCTTTTTCTGTAGGGTAGCTTGGCTATGGAATGTAGTTTCTAAACTCCAAAGTCAACAATTAAAAACAAAACATGCTTTTTTAGACAACTCAGACTAAATCCCTGAAGATAGCCAGGGCTTCACTGTTCAGAAAGAGGTCTCAAGTAGTATCCATCACTACCGCAATAGACAGGATTTGTGAGAAACCATAATGAACGCAATTTCTTCTGCTCTATGAGTGATAGTAGCTGCCTTGATAAAGGTCCTCCACTCACAGGAGACGCTGAGCAGACAGATGCAAGTGAAAGTTTCCCCTACCTGAAATTACTTTTAAAACCTTGGCAACGTCTCCATTCACAGTGCACTTCATCGTTCAAAAAAGAAAATCATGCATTCATGATCCATATGGCAAATGAACCCAGTATTAAACACACACGCTTCTTCCTTGTCTTCAAAACAGAACTGCTGGAGCAGGATGTGGGTGACTCATGCCTGTAATCCTAGCAACTTGGGAGGCTAAGATCTGAGACTTGAGGTTCGAATCCAACCTGAGCAGGAAAAGTCTCCAGTTAGCCACCAAAAAGAAAAAAAATAATAAAAAGCCAGAAGTGCGGCTGTGGGTCAAGTGGCGGAGCACCAGCCCTGAATTTTGTAAAAACTAAGGGACAGCAGCCAGGCCCTGAGTTCAAGCCCTGGTAACCTGCTTTTACACACACACACACACACACACACACACACAAACACACACACACACACACACATACCTGTTTAATCACACCCGACCAAAAAAGAGCAGAAAGGCGATCAGCCTAAAAGACACCAGTAAGCTTTGCTAGAAAAACAGCTAACACATAATAGCACCCTTCACGGCAGCAATTGACAAACTGTGAAACGGATTTCGGAACGGCCTGTCCTGAAGCCCATTCAGAAAATGTAGCAAAAATTATCACCCCAAGAATTCGACGGTGGAATGCGGCTGAAAAGTCTTGAGAATCCCAAGACGGCCGGGCAAAGCATCGGGAACAGCAGGCGAGCCGGGGTCGGTGCCGATCGCCCCCGATCGTCCCCCCACCCACCCCCGTCACCCCCCGCCCGGCCCCAGCAGTGGCCGGGAAGGGGTGGGGGCGGCCGGGCGGAGGGGGCGCGTGAACAGCTGTTGTTGGCAGGGCGGGGAGGGGAGCTCCCGGCGGCGCCCCGCGCCTCCTGGCCGCGCACAGGTACCGGGGACCCCGCGCGCGCGCGCGCTCGCGCCTGGACACGCCCGGAGCCAGGTGTCCGCGGCTGGGTCCGAAGCTGGGCCGGGGGTCGAGCTGGCCCCAGAATGGGGAGGCGGGGGGTGGGGGGGGGACCAGGGGGATCCAACCCCGCCGTCTCATCTCCGCCTCCTTTTAGGTCAGGCCGAGGACACAGATTCCCACACTCACCGCGGCTGGAAGTTTTCAAGGACTTAATTTAAGAAGAAAATGAACGCGCAGCCTTTAAGTTGCACAACTCCAGCCCCGCAGAGTGCGCGGCGGGAACGGACGCCTCGCCCCGCACGGAGGACCCCCGGGCCGGCGAGCATTCCCCCGACACCCCGGCTCCCGGGAGCCCCAGGTGCGAGGCTGCGTCCCGGGAGACCGCGGCACCGAGCCGGGGCAGCTTCCTGCTCCGAGGACGCCGGAGAGGCCGCAGACGCGGGGCGCTCCCCGGGCTCCCCGAGAGTGAGGGCAGCGATCCCGGCTGCCCGGGGCCCGGGGGTGGCGGGGTGGGCGCCCCCTCCCCCCGCTCCCTCCGCCGCCAGGATTCCGGGGTACGACCCCCCGCGCGCCCTACCTCGCGCCTCGGCTCCACCTCTTTGTTCGCGGCCCCGCAGCGGCCGATGCGGATGCGGCCCCGCGCCCGCCGCCCGCGTGTGACGCCGCGGTGGCACCGGAGACTCCTCTCTGCCGCCCCCCGCGCCAGCACCGCCGAGGAGGGCGGGGACCCGGGCGGGGAGGCGGAGGCCCGGGAGGAGGCGGAGGCGGAGGCCGAGCCCAGGCGGCGCCCGGGGCGCGAGGGGGCGGCCCGCGCCACAGCGCCTCCACCCGAGCGGCCGCCGCGCTGCGTGCGCGCGGATCCCGGGGGACCCGGGGGTCGGGGTGCGGGCAGGGAGAAGGGGGTCCCCGCCGCGGGGCGGACGGGGGCGGGGATGGAGGGAGGGCAGCGAGGAGGGAGCTGGGGGTGAGGGGGGACCCACGCTTGGAAGATGGAGCTGCGGGAGAGGCTGGCGCTGGCGGGGAAGGAAGGAGCCCGCGGCTGGGCAGGGCTGTGGCGGCGTCCTGCCCAGCAGTGCCCCCCCGCCGTGCCCGGAGGCCCGAGACAGATTCCTGCTGGGATAAATGCGGGGGTGCCCCGCGCTGGAGGGGCTGGGCGGGAAAAGGCGGGCGCAGCCCCAGGGGGTAGGGGGGGAGACCGGGACCCCCAGCACTGAGCGCAGGCAGAAGTCTGGGATGAAATGCGCCCCCCCCCCCATCCACCCGCACCCACACATCATCGACACCCACCGAGCAACTTGGCAGAATTGAGCCAAACACTGACCAAGAGAAGAAAAGGGAAAAAAACCATAATGAGAAAGGAGGGAGACTGGAAGCTGGAGCTGTGGGCCTCGAACCCAGCCTGGGGGCGGGGGTACGGGGGTGCTCTCCGCTCTCTCCCTAAAAGGGAGCAGTTACAGTCCGACCCCACAAGCTAACAGGCAAGCTCCCCTTCCCCCCAGGAGGCAGCCCTCCTACTGAGTCTAACCTGCGGTCGCCCCAGACACCCACCTGTAAACTCCGGAAGTGCAGGCTTGGGAGAAAAAAAATGGGGCCAGAGGTTTGGAGATGCCTTTTCCCAGGCTCATTCTGGAGGGAAAATAAGTTAGGATTGTGTCATTCCTCTTCATGTCGTCATTATTTTATTTGCACTTACTCCCAAATACCCGCCTGTGATCAGCCCTTCGTACTCAGGAGGCTGAGATCTGAGGATCTAGGCTTGAAACCAGTCCAGGTAGGAACGTCAGGGAGATTATTATTACTTCCAATTAACCACCCAAAGAGCCAGAGTGAAACTTTGGCCATGAAAGGGTACCCAGGCTCTGAGTTCAAGCCTAGTACCAGCACAGAAGAAAAAGAGGAAGGGGGGGGAGGGAGGAGAAACTAAGCAGAATTTAAAAAAAAAGCTATGAGATGCAGGAAATCTCTGCCAGGCCACTAACTGTGATAGCCATTTGGCAAAAGCTAAACCATTCACTTAAAAAAATTGAGGGAGAGAGCGCGCGCAAGGAACCATTAGCACTCACTGTCCAACACCACGTTTAATTCTCAGAGCAATCCCTTACCATCTCCTTCCTCAACTTTGTTCTAAAGGGAACAAAAATTCACGGTATAAACATCAAAAATAACAGTCCACTCCCTTCTCCACTAGGAAAAAAGCTATGTGCATTCGTTTGAGCTAAGAAAATCCAGGAAAAGAATGAAAGGATAGGAGAATGAAAGGATAGGATAAAAAATCTTTCATCTGCAGACGAGGCTTGCTGAAAGTGAGTAACCCGTAACCCGTGCGGTTCTGCATCAGGAAGTGTGTGAATGGAGGAAGGGCTGAGTAGAAAACCACAGCGAGTACACAGGTATTATGACCAATTTCTAATTCTGAAAACTGATGCCCACAGTTGGGCACAAGTGTGCCTGGAACCGTAGCAACTCGACTCAGGAGGCAAGAAAATCCATCACTCTTATCTCTACAAACAAGAGGAACTGTGGCTCAAGTGCTAAAGCACCAACCTTGAACACAAAAGCTAATGGACAGCACCAGATCTTGAGTTCAAGCTCAGTGCTGACGCAAAAATCAAACACTGAACCCCTGTAGGCTAACTCCCTTCTGCAGGTCACACAATGAGTAATGTTGAACCAAGACTCAACTCCAGGTGTCCTGATTTCAAGGCCTGTTTTCCTCTGCCCTGCCTCCTTCCCCTCTTCCCCCCCCCCCCCCCCCCCCCCCAGTCCTGAGGCTTGAACTCAGGGCAGGGCAATGTCCCTGAGCTTTTGTGCTCATGACTAGCTCTCTAGCACTTGAGCCACAGCCTCACTTCATTTTTGTAGTTTAGTGGAGATAGTCTCACAGACTTTCCTGCCCTGGCTGATCCTCAGATCTCAGCATCCTGAGTAGCTAGAATTACAAGTGTGAGCCACCAGGGCCCGATTCAAGTCCTGTTTTCTTTACACTATTTCAGGAACCTCACAAGTCAGTGTGAGAGCAAAGAACACATTTTACTTTGTTCTCACCTTTTCTTTTTCTTTAAATGAATACTTCAGACATGGCTGATTTTTTTTTTTACTTTAGAGTACCTCTATTCATTACATATATTTATTTATTTATTTAACAACTAGCCACTCAAGTCCTAAAAGTAATTATTGAGTTATTTTACCTCTTTGGCAGAAAATGATCTGCCAAACATTAAAAAGAAAATCCTTTAGAGAAAAAACACTTTTTTTTTTAAGAATGGTGTTAGAAAGCCAGGTGTGGTATTCCATGCCTATAATATCAGCACATGGAGAATTGAGGCTGGATGTGACTAACATCATCGTGTCTTAGCCCGGATTACAGAACTAGACTCTTTTATAGATAATAGACAATAAATAAAAACCAAACCAAGTCATAGTAGAGAGTTGACATCGATGATACCAGATTCTCTGCAAACAGTACAATTTCTATAAAAACAAGATGTTATTATTGTCCTTTATCTTCTCAGTATGTCTCTAGATTAGTAAAGATATACATAACTATGCCCAAGATACAGATGAATGTCTCCTAGGACAGGATTAGGAGAAGGGGTTGGTTTTAGCATTCAGATCATTTCTTCATAGTTAACCTGCCCCACACCAACTCTTTATTATAATCTATCAATCAGTAAATTTTGTGCAGGGCTGGTATGGTAGAATCCCATATCTAGAATCCCAGCTACTCAGGAGACAGAGGTGGAAAGATTAAGGTCCAAAGCTGGCCTGGACAAAAAGTGAAAGAACTCATCTAAAAAATAAGCCAAGTGTTGAGAAGGTGGCTCAGCGGTAGAGTGCTTGCCTCACATGCTTGAGGCCCTGGGTTCGATTCCTCAGCACCACATAAGCAGAAAAAGCTGGAAGTGGCCTGTGGCTCAAGTGGTAGAGTGCTAGCCTTGAGCTGAAGAGCTGAGGGACAGGCCCCAGGCCCAGAGTTCAAACCCCATGACTGACCGAAAAGAAAACAAACAGCTGGAAGAGGGGTATGTGGCTCAAGTGATAGAGAACTAGCAACCTCAAGGCCTTCAGTCAATCCTCCAAAAAGAAAAAAAGTTTTGTGCAGAAATTGAAAATGAGAACACATGATTCTTTCTCTTACTTTCACAGTGGAGAAACAGCTAAATGAGTGTCAGCTGTTTAACACAGAGCATAAATGTGTGTTTATCTTCATTCTAGGGCTCAATGGTATCACCATCTACTTTGTTCCCCAAACAAGCAAAGACCCTCAAGCCTCTCTTTCCTGACAGTGTCCCCTCTCACTTTCCATCAAATGGATATCCAGAGATCAGAGTGCTTCATCAACTTCCCTTTCTTCCCAATCCCTGTGTCAAGTCTGGCCAGCTCATTTCAGTAGTTTCTTAAGCAGTCACGACTTGAGCTGCTCCCAATCCCTCTACAGTGTGAGGAGAACTTAAAAAGCTGCTTTTTCTGGAACCATGAATCTACTGAAAGCAGGAGAAGAGCTTGGAATGTCGCATCGCTTTTGTGAGGGACTCTGCTCTCAGCCATTCATTCTCTCTGCAGTCCCTTGCAATCCCCTTGGGATCTGGCATGGCCAGGACTTAGCACCGATCGATGACAGCTTTATGACAAGGGACCCAAGGAGCAATAGAGCATCCTCAGAGACCCCACTCATCAGGTGATCCTGACAGACCTGTCCTGACCACAATGCCTCTGGAACCCTTTCCAAAATGACCAAAATAACGATCAACCAAGCCATGAACAGGATTGTTTAATCATTATGCTTACTTCTCACTCCCTTCCCCCAGTTAGTTGTCTACTTAAGGCTAAAGCTCATGTCTGTACTCCAAAGATGGCTCAAGACATACTGAAGTGCTTTCTTCTCATGGCTGCTGTGTAATGAATCTCCCTTCTCTGCTCTTCACCAGGTCTCTTTATTTGGCATATGGGGACAAGTGACCAGAGCTGGCATCTAGACCTCCTGGACTTGAGCCTGGGATCTAAAAATTCCTGTTTCAAAGATTCTTGGTCCTAAATTAAAAAAAAAAAAAAAAAAAAAAAAAAACCACAAGATGGACCAATTCCCTGTTCTCATAAAGTTTCAGAATTCTAAAAAAAGACACTTGGTCCTACTGGGTGCCCAGTGGTTCATGACTGTTAATCCTAGCTACTCAGGAGGCTGAGATCTGAGGATCATAGTCCTAAATCCTTAAGACTTTTATCTCCAATTAAATACCAAAAAAGCCAGAAGTGGAGGTATAGCTCAAGTGACAGAGGGCTAACCTTGAATGAAAAAGCTCAGGGATAGTGCCTAGGCCCTGAGTGTTCTCTCTCTCTCTCTCTCTTTCTCTCTCTCTCTCTCTCTCTCTCTCTCTCACACACACACACATACACACAGATGATATACTTGGTCCTTAGAAATCAGCAGCTGCACTAACTGGATAAACTCAGGCAGTCTCTGCTCATCTGTGCCTAATTGTCACCTATTGTCATATTACTGTTACTAATCTTTCTCTCTGCGTTTTGTGGCAGTCTTACATAAGTTAGTAAAAAATAAAATGCTTAACCCTTTGTCCAACACATAGCAAGTGCTTAATAAATAATATATTTTTATTTGGTTTTGAGATAAAAATCACATTATGTAACCCAGGTTGGCCTTAAACTCCTAAAT